CTCCCTGCCCCCACCGCGCCCCGCCTACCCCGGGGGCTCCCCGGCTCCCCGGGGCGCACGCCCACACCCTCGTCCCCCTCCAACCGGCCGCCCACGGCGCGGCGGGAGCGTGACCTTTTCAAAACGCACATCTGCGCGTGTCACTCTTGGTCATAACCTGCTAACAGGTGCGGGCCTGCAACTGGGGAACCGAGGTTCAGGCGACCACAGAGGCTAAGAGCCGACTCGCACGAGCGCCGCTCCCCAAGCGGCCGAGGCGCTGCGCGGTGTCCTCGCGGCCGGGCCTTGCTCCTCGTCCCGCGGTTCAGGCGGTGCGCGAAGTCCCTGCAGGCGGAGAAGCGGATCCCTCGCGGCTTAACGCACAGGACACGCCGGCCACCAGCCCCGCCAGCGAGGACGGCCCCTGGCGTGTGCTTCCTGAGCGCGCAGATGCGGCCGCTGGGGCTGGCGAGCGGACTCCCGTTTCGTTCGGTCTTGACTCTTGTAACCTCACGGAGCCGCGCGGGCTTGACGGCCACCGCGCCGGGCCGAGCGGATGGCTACCGCCGCCTCACACGCAGGGCCCCACGCGCACTGCCCTGTGGCCTCGCGCTCTCTGGCCGTCTTCCGCGGTGACCCCGGTGAAGAACTCTTCGGAAAAGGCCTGGGTAAAGCAGCCTCCTCACTGAACGCCCTGCAGCTCTGCTTAGTGTTTCAAGCAGCATTTAGGTGGAAGAGAGGAAACCTACCAGATTCAGACGCAGCCCCTTCTGTTTATGTTCAGAAAAAGCACATTCTTGCACTGAGAAAAACAGATCGTATTTAAAATGCAACCTAAGTATGACCCTATCTGAAAGTGGCACGAGGGTTAAACAGCCACACGCTCACCCACGTGTACTTACACACTAAGCCTCCCCAAAATCCTGTATGTTTTAAAAATTAAATGTAAACAATCTTTCTAAAAAGGAACAAGCTATATCATTCCAAGAGTGTGCTTTTTCTATTATGGATCTATGAATAATATCGAGAAGAAATGTCTAAATTGTATACTCACGTGCTTAAGCCATCGAATAAGAAACATTTAACAAAAAACAAACCTCTGCAGTCCACTCATAAACTATTCAAAAATCTACTTCGAATTAATATTTCTTTTGAAAGATAGTAAATAACTCACAAAAAAGAAATCTATTTTCAGCTCTCAATCTAAATAAAAAAGCGAATTAGCAATATTACATTTACAGAAAAGGCTGCCACAGAGCAAGCCGCCCAAATTATGGAATATGACTATGCCATTTATGAAATATGGAAGATAACTGATGCAGTAAGAAATAACTGTTATTCTGACTTAATCCACTAGGAGGCAAGGACAGTTATGTTTTCCTTTTGTGAATTTTATTCTCTTCTTGTGATTAAATGAGACAAAATCAGCCCAACTTGAAATCGATTAAGTGTCACATGTATACACTTCAGCTAAACCAATAAAAAACATAACAGATTTGTTTGTTAAATGCAACGTGGCAGATTTTTTTACCTTCGGCAACTTTAGGCCAGGAGAAAGCAATGATGGGACTATAAATAATCAGATCGCACCGCTCATACAGGCACCGAAAATATACACACTGTCGCCAGCACCTTTCTTGGGGTCACAAAAATATTACAAAGCCTGAAGAATACAGGCTTTGTGGCATGTAACGTGTGAGGTTTTTAAACTTCTGTATGTGATTCCGTCTGCCGAGTAATGAAAGGCATTGTGAGAGCTTTTATCGCCACCATTAATCACCAGCAGGACAGCATATAAGCGAAAACTATGCCGACTGCTCATTTTTCCATTAAGAGTCAGGATGGGGAGCAAGGAGGCCCCCAGGGGGAGGTCCTCTCAACTCCATTCTCCCATGTGCTGAGCTAAAAGACGTGCCAGATGTCAGAACGACTTACTGAAACATCCTGCAAACGACGAAGCGGCCAAACGCTGTCACAGAGGAAGGTCTCCACTGCTCAACCTAAAGAGCAGGACAAGTCTCCCGGATGAAAGGGCACCGGGCGCCCGCCGCCACACGTCCCCAGCATCCCAGGCGCTCCGGAACACGCTCATCTCCAGCATGAATATTCACCCCAACCCCTCCCAAAAACCAGGAACCTAAGTCCCCATACCGAAACCCTAGCACTTTAATTAAAGTCACAGTGTAATAAGCACACAGTGTAATGGTAAAAAACACCGTCGAAACAAAGTACTTTCTGCCAGTGAAATACCATATGTAGTTTTAAGAAAAGTAAGCTGTATAATTAATTACACTGGTTTCGTGCCAGTATTATTTTGGAAATTACAACTATCGCAACATTGTAACAGTTTTAATTGACTAAATAAACTAGTAAAGACGAAATACATGTAAACTCATAAATTTCTTTTTGGATGTAAGTGAGTACTGAATGAGGAAAGTTAAAACACTAAAATCGTTACAATCGCTTCTTGAAATGTCTGTGCTGGTCAATCACACATTTAATTGCTCTGCACTGAATGTCGATAAAGTGAGAATCGCAACGCACTTACGAAAGCCCTAACAATAAGCCGGTATGTTTCTATGGTGATGAACATTCAGACAAGACTGTGCCCGCTCATCTTGACCCCTGGAGGTATGTAAACAGCACTCGATACACTATGTCTCCACCCATCGGGAAAGCCTGGGAAAATTTTCCACATTCACAGAACATTTAAAATAAATATCAAACCATTGTTTTCATTT